AGCAGGGATTCGAGGAGGTAATTAAAACCAGAGCAGAATTGGCGGTGGTTCGGCTGCGTTTGGCGCCTTCTGTCGGTGAACATAGAGTACGGTCTCCTGCATGAACACATGCATGAACTAATACGCGTATCTTCTCCCCCCCCAAATCAATGCTTTTATGCGCCGCAGGTCCGGACGGGGTCCTTGGCCCAAGCCCATCTGTGGCATCGCAGCGGCCACATGCAACACTTCGCAGATAATATGTTTGCAATTGCGGATCCGAGGGAAAGAGGAAGTGACACGCTCCCAGGGGACATGCAAAATGTGGAGACGCCCCAGCAAGAAGGGTCCACGCCGCCCCCGATTTATGATGCCGGCACTTCTTACCTTTTGAAGCCAATGAGCTGCCCTCTACATCTTTCTTACTTCTTTGATCGTTCTGTAGGATTTAAAGGTTTATGCGGCTCCCTGTCATATCAGTGCACCGGAAATAAAAAGCATAAGCTCCTTTCAGCATATTAATATTATATATGCTAGGATGTTTATTTTCTGTACATACTTTTTTTTCGTGCTGCTGTCCCCTTTTTGGTTGGTTGTTTGTTGTGGAGATGTATAACGCAGTGTCTTGTTGAGGTGACATTGAAAGGCGGACATACGATGGCGTGTGTTCCTGGTTCCCTGCAGGTTCGATTAGGTTCTGCTTTACCGCTACGTATATGCGAATTTGGGCATGTTTATCGACGGGAGGTACCCAGCGCTCTTTGCGGCCTCATGCGAATGCGCGAGTTCACTCAGGTGCCGTTACCTGGCACTTAATCGTATCCAAAACTGAGGTAGTTGTTATATTTAAAGGCAAAGGCAGGTGCTATTGCTTCGCAACACGGGGTGGTTTTTCTTTTTTGTGTTGAAATAGTACCAGTAGTTCCGTTTCAAACGAAACTTGGGCTTGTATTTCAAATACGTTATCTTCTGCGAATCAATAATGGCATTAGCTTTCGAGCATCAAACAGGATGGTACACACAAGATGGTTGCTTGTAGAAAATGGATGGATATTTGCAGTGGCGTACTGATAGCAAAGCAGGCAGACGCAGCAGCGTGCAAGGGGCACTGCAGCATATGGAATTTGTCAATCTTTGTGGTTTTAGGACGATGGCCACATTTTGTGTCGCATGTCTCAAGCTCTGGCAGAAGTAACGGCATTTCTTTCCGCGTGTCAAAAGCTGTACAAGGCAGCGGGCTTTTGTAAGGGGGAAATAATCTACCACATCTCGACGAGGTAAAGCTTGGTTGTTTTCGGATTTAGGGTTTAGGGTAGGCCGTAGAGGTTGGGGAGTGCTCCAGCCGCTCATCATGCACAGCCCTAGTTACCCGTATATTCTTTTTATTGCAAAGGCGAGTTAGTTTAGAAGCAGCCATTAGTCCATTAATATACGGGCCTTCTCGAAATTGTTTAGCAGGCAACCGATCCCAATGCGACTATCTCTTGAGTTCCTGGCAGTGCAAATGCGACGGTTGCGGTGCAGCTGGTGTTGGTTTTTTTCAGGCCAGAAAGCAGTCAAGGTTCAGAACAGGAATGGGCCGATGCCGAAGTGAGAGACGCCTAGTTGTG